TAAACTGCATAAATTAACGATATAGTTCTGCTGAATATAACCTGTATCAGAATAAGGCAAGAAATAATCCAAGAAATTGGGTTTGTTCCAGATCCCAGAACAAGAAATGAATCCATTTTGATAAGAAAACTATCAGTGATTAATGGCAAGGATTGAGGAATCGGAGAACCGTCTTCGAATTCCAGTCGAATCCATTAAATTCACTTACATGTTAATAACCTGGGGAAATGTATGAATCCTCGACTTCTCCCCAGAGCAATGGGTAAATAGTAAATCTGACTGGGTTCTGTAGCCTTGGATGTAAACTGGTCTACCGCAGAAAGAAATAGCAAACTATTGCGGGAAAAATCTGCCACGTTAGCCATGTATCGAAAGATACATGATCGCCTAAGCATGTATCACCAAGGCACATTGACTGACTGATTAATATAATTTAAAAAAATAATATATCTGTATTTAATATATTACACAAAAGCGATCACAAACAATTTGAACTGCCCATGTAATTTTGATTCATTTCGTGAAGTTATAAGACAAATGAAAACAAAAGGAATCCATGGGGATAAAAATAAGGAAAAGCGATTTCACATAAACAAAAATGTCTATATATAATGAATAGCCAGAGGAGAATGCGTTTTAAGAAGACAGAATATATGGTCATTAACAACAGAGGCAACCCAAAGTGCGAGATACGAATTGGCGACATGAGGATGAACCTCTAACATTTGTATGCGACAATTATCCTCATCTTTCTTATTTTTACCACGACGTTTCGGTCATTGTGCCTTCATCAGTTGCATGTTGATCCGTGGAGCCTACATGGAATTCCGAACTGTCTTACCGTTTCTTCAGTAGATGTGGATTAATATAAAAAAAAACAGAACTGTGTGTGAATGTAGGAACATCGTTTCACTGCGTTAGTCACTCCTCCTCGCCCTTTGTCACTGGAGTCTTCCAGACTGCATTAGATGACCAGAAATTCTACGGGTAATGTCCATGCTCTGATACACAACACGGATCTTGCTGACATCTTGCCTTCATGGCCTGTGGATCTGTAAGAGATCTTATCCGCCCACTCTGCCGGAAATCATTCTTCAAGCCCTTCTAAAATCCTAGAACTATGTATATTTTCGATTCTAACAGATATCGAAGTTAAAGAAATACTTAATAAATGCCATACAATAAATTTTGTCGGAAAACATTCTTAATTTTTACGAGTGGACCAGTTTCTCTGAATAGTCCCTTATCGGTCTTTCATCTATTTTAGAAGGTGACACTCAATAGGCCATGAAGGCCATTGATAATATTTTACTATTTACACAGACCGTTTTCTTGTCCCCTTGGAGCATTTCAAAGTGACTCATGATTAACTGGGATTTCTTTAACGGAATACATTAAAATATCTTATTTCCTCATTTCGAAATCGCTTTAGATTTTGCTATTTCAATGTCATTATACCCTAGAAAATGGATGGGCACCTCGAGGCAGTGTAACAGTTAGTAAGCTTGTCTCGCTAGAACAGTTACGACTGAGTAGTGATTTCGATCCTCACTGGGTGTCCCTACTTTCGGCCTTGTGCCACATCTAAGCTACGCTTGGAAGATTACTACCCTAGAAAATGGAAATACGAAGATGATAGAAATAATATCGCATTTTTGTAGAACTTAGATATAACTAAAATTCTATTTATGTTATTTGTCAAATCATTGCAAATGTCCGTGTCCGTCCAGTTGTATTTCAGGCTTTGATGAATGCTGACATTTGCCCACAAATGAATGCCTTAAAGATAAACGATAAAATGTTGCATTTTATACTCTATGAATTTCGGAAAGTAGTAAGTGCCAAAGCTCCGACAAAAATGATTCAGCATTTTTATAATGATCCAGATCCAGATCTTCGGGCGTTCAAAATGTTATACGGCAGATTTCGTCAGGGTGATTTTCACCTAAACAATCAAAGCGCCCCAGGAGACCTTCTGACGTGGATAAAGATGGTCTGCTTTTTATTGTGAAGAATAAGCGGAAGATTTCACAGAAGAGATTGCTCAGACTGAAAATCGATATCTCAACAGCCTTTCGCTATCTAATGGTACTTGGGTTCATTGCTAAACTTGACACGTGGGTGCCACATTATCTGAGTGAACAGTAGATGCCCGATCGTGTTTCTATGACGATTAATTACCTGTTACTTCACGAAAAGAGCCGTTTTTGGAATGAAGTGACACTGGCCAGGAACAATTGATCATTTATGTTAATGTTCGGGCAAACAGAGCTGGGAAAATAAGAACACGGGTGAATGTGCTATAGTCGTGTCTGAAGAGTACTTGCATCCATTGAATGTGTTGCTGAAAAGTTTGGTGATATTGCAGAGGGATCATTTGCTTTGAGCTACTTACAGTCGGCGAAACAATAACTGCAAAGAAACATGGCGACCAACACAAACTTTTATTACGATTTGAGGCCCCCACAATCTTGTAATATGATAGGAATTCCCTACAAACTTGTAGTACGATAGGAGGCCCAACAATCTTGTAGTATGATAGGCGGCCCCCACAAACTCGTAGCACGATAAGAGGGCCAACGACCCTGTAGTATGGTAGGAGGCCCCCGCAAACGTTTAGTACGATAGGAGGCCCCCACAATCTTGTAGTATGATAGGAGGTCCCCACAAACTCGTACACGAAAAGAGGGCCAACGACCCTGTAGTATGGTAGGAGGCCCCTGCAAACGTTTAGTACGATAGGAGGCCGCCACAATCTTGTAGTATGATAGGAGGCCCCACAAACTCGTAGCACGATAAGAGGGCCAACGACCCTGTAGTATGGTAGGAGGCCCCCGCAAACGTTTAGTACGATAGGAGGCCCCCACAATCTTGAAGTATGATAGGAGGCCCCCACATACGTGTAGTACGTGAATATAATAGGTTGCATTGGAATTCGAACTTACCTCTCTGAATCTTGAATCGGACTCGCTATCCACTACACCACCGTACCTCATTCATATTCTCATGGTGTGTTGTCGCAGCAAAAAATCTCTTCTTCGTACCTCTTCTGTTTGTCCATTAATCTTGAGTCACCGACAGTTTTTAATCTCAATTGATCTAACGATTTAAATGTAGTTAAGTACAAAACGACAGAAAAATGTGCTCTTGGTTTATAACTAAAGGTTTATTAATTGTTATTTACAGAAGTACTCTCGTTGACCTGTAAACAACCTTTACCGTAAATAGTATTAATATAGCTTTGAAGCTGTGTGAAAAACAATTAATTATAATAATTAAAAGAGAATAATTTACCATTAAGCTGGGGTAGCCGAATGCATTAAATTATAATGATTTTCGAAGCGTAGTTTGGATGCGGCACAAGGCCGAAAGCAAGGGGCACCCAGTGAGGATCGACCTTACTACTCATTCGTAATAGTTCTAGCGAGACAAGCTTGCAAACCTTACACCGCCTGGAGGTGCCCGAATGCATTAAATTATAAATACGTATATTAACTGCCCTATCGACATGATCCAGAATTCGACGACAACTGGAGAGAGTGATTTCTACCAAAGATAGATATCTGCCACCTTGTGTATGTACGACCAATGATTCTCTATAGGATCAAATATAAACAACCCTATTTTACATAGAGTCTCAACAATAAACACGATTAACTTTTAGCTGTAGGCTTAAGTATAAAAATGAACAATAACTCATAGCTTCAAATAGGAAACAACAAATATTCCTCTATAGAAACAGGTTTAAAAACGATCAAATTTACGTATAGTCTCAAGTATAAAGACTATTTTACCTATAGTCTTAAGTATAAAGACTATTTAAGTGTAACTCAACCAATATTTACTTACAGACACAAGTATAATAAATACCTTTGTCGAGCTATAGAAACCGGAAAGGTCACGAAGATTTACGTATATATAAACGACCAATATTTTCTAATATACACAACTGAAGTATAATTTTAACGATCAAATTTACGTATAAAGACTATTTTACCTATAGTCGCAAGTATAAAGACAATTTTACCTATAGTCTCAAGTATAAAGACAATTTATCTATAGGGGTAACTATAAATATAACTAACTCATACACTTAAGTATTTCTATTTACCTATAGAAACAAGCTTTAACAGGACCAAAATTTACCTGTATACACAAGTACTAATACGAAATGTGTTTGCAATTAACTCAAGTATAAATACCAGTAATGTTTATAAATAGCCGCAAGTGAAACTCAACCAATATTTACCTACAGACACAAGTATAATAAATACCTTTGTCGAGCTATAGAAACCGGAAAGGACACGAAAATTTACGTATATATGAACGACAAATGTTTTCTGGTGGGTATATATGCTCAAAACGACAAATGTTTTTCTTTGAGGGGAATCGAAATGAGGCCAGGAATAATCCACTTTGAATTCTTACGACCGAATGCAGCAATTAATGCTCAAATATACTGTCAGAAATTAGAGTTTTTGAACCAAGCTTTGAGGGAAAAAATGAATCGAAATGAGGTGATGTTTCAACAGGAGAATGCGCGACCTCACACAGCAAGAATCACGTCACAAAAGATCGAAGAACTTGGTTGGGAGAAAATTCCTCATCCACCTTATTCTCTCCGATTTTGCTCCTTCAGACTACCATTTGTTTCGTAACAGAACAGAATCATTTGAAAAGAAACAGCTTTGGCACGTGGAACACAGGAAGAGGTTAAAACTGACATTTGTGAAGTTCTTTGAACTTTGTAATGAAAGCCAAAAGAATTTTATAGTAATGGAATTAGTAAGCTTTGTTAATAGATGGAAGGAATTCATAGATATTGAGGGAAAATATATTGTTGATAAAATCTGTAATTAAATGTAACATTTGGTCACTTGCATTTTCTTTTTTCAAAATTTTATTTCTAAATTTGGACAGAACTTATGAGATGACCTAATAATATTTATATATATATATATATATATATATATATATATATATATATATATATATATATATATATATATAGGACCTGGGTTTAGTGGCCACAAAATCTAGTTTTATCGTCTTCCCCAGGACGCGGAAGTTTATCGAAAATCAAATCGAAAATGTCTATGTTTGGGCTATGTGACTGTGTGTTTGTAGACATATACTTGTTTAAAAAACGTATAGAATAGACCAGATTTGTGTAAATGTGTACTTTCAGATGTGGGAAGCCACCCCAAAAATATTGAATATCATACCAGTGCAGCCAAATTATGTGTGTGTGTGTTTGTGTGTGTGTGTGTGTGTGTGGCACAATACTGAAAGTATGGGGCATCAAGTGAGGATCGAACTCACTTCTTCTTTTTCGTACCATCTTCCTTCAGGACGTTGGCGATCATAGCCCTTCACCTCCTTCTGTTCCTTTGTATCTCTTAAAAATTTTGTTGTTTTTGCTATTTCGCGCAGTCCCTGTACCTTCATCTATTTGCTCACAGCAATTATGTATGCCACCCCTTGTTTTCCTCTGCCCCCTCTTTCCCTCTATCCGTCTTGTGAATATCAGATATTCAGGCAACTCTAAGAGAGACTTGATTTCATTTTCTGAAGATTTGTCAGTGGTTGCAGGTTCACAATTCCATTTTCGTTGTCAGTTATCACTCTTATTAGAATGTTCCCGTATTTCAATATTTATAGATTTTGACATTTCGATGTTGTACGTCGCATATTGCCCTATTCTCTTTGCAGTCTTCATTCTATTGATGGTAAGTACTTTCTTCACGCTTTCCTTACTAGCACGTCTAAAACCTGTAGTTTTCTTTCTACGCCTGCTATCAACACAGTGTAATAAGATATTATTATTATTATTATTATTATTATTATTATTATTATTATTACTATTATTTTATTTCATTTGATTCCTGGTGTATACACATTAATTTCTGGGTTCCAATCAGAGACGTAAGGCCAGAAATGTTATCATGACATGTTCTACTGAGAAAAAAGAAAAGTCACACATGTTTTACATAGATAAATCCCTTCGGAAGATGTGGGCTGTACATGTGAGGACAATTTTTTTTTTTGTATTTCTTTAAGGTATGTGCTACTAGGATTCCCTTAAATGAATCTATTGGATTCATTTTCCAATCAATTCGAGCGTTCCAACTACTACCGTGATTGTTTATGTACAATTGTGCAACATTTCTAAGATTTCGATTTAAAGTCGTTGTATTTTGATAGCTTTTGAAGATCCCGAAAGATATATTGCACTCTGCAGAAACTGTCAAAAAGGAAACACATTTTGTCTTTGCGGTCTCTAATCATGATATAGGGGAGATTAGCTTTAATTGTGCTTAAGCGTGTGCATTGTAAATCCTTAGAATTGTCATAAGTATTAGTATTTTTGTTATTATTACTACTATTATCTTCATAGTATTTTAGCAACAATATATATATATATATATATATATATATATATACACTTTTTGGATTACGCAACCAATAATTTACTTAGCCATGTGTCCTTAATGGAACAATCTATCTCCGTCGACTAAATAAAGTGTTCGGTTCGAAATTTTGACGCATATCTCGTAAAGAAGGTCGGAGCGTTCGACGGCCAAAACGTCGTGACGATGGCAATAAGGATTAAGACAACCATCAAAACAATGTAAATAGTTGCAATACACCATCTCAGAAATATATATCGATATAATATATATGCACATCAAACAGCTGATCAACCTCGCCTTGTTTGAAAGAAATGACAGGCTGAAAGCTGGAATTCGATTTAAAAATTGTAGAATGTCACCCACTCGAATTTCAAACATGCCCAACACACGACGGCTCGGGATTAACGCTCCGATTAGAATTCACAAATAATGCATCTCAAGCCGATAAATCATGAAAACAAACTATAAATAGCAAAAGAAACCACCAGTTGAAAATATATATATATATATATATATATATATATATATATATATATATATATATATATATATATATATATATTATAATGAATACATTTTCATTGCATTAAAAAAATTATCACTGTTCCATGTAGCCGTTCTCATAAGTCGGAGTACTATAGTTAATTTCTTGAATCTGAGACAACTCTGAAATGGGAAATTCTGGGATAACTTCAGCAATTTCTTTCCCTGGTCCCACGTACACATTATTTCCCCATTTAAATCTGGAAAATGCGCCATATTGTGTTTGAATATTAGAACGGAAAAATACTGTCTTTCTAACTGCTCTTTTCTTTCTCCTCTTTACTAATATGTATGTTCCTAATTCCTCCAAACTCTGTAACCTCTTGCATGCTAGTGGCTGTACTGCCTTGCGTGGGTTTATACAGATTAAAAAATAATTATTATATAACTATTTTAATGGGTTTATAACTACACTATTACTTAACAGATGAAGTTAAATCGTATTTATTATTTGGGCTTATATAAAATGACTTCGTTAAAGTAGGTATAATAATGAAATATTTTAATCATTTCATTCTAAACTCGGCGATAATGCGACTAAGATTCAAGAGTATACTGACATTGAAAGAGGAACCGCAGCCCTAATCCTAAACAGGGAACAAGGGATAACTCTGTAGTCTTTTATATTTTTCATTTACCATTGAATTTAAAATAGGCTGCTAAATAAACCGAGATATGTCAAAATAAAATCTGAACTCTCTATAAGAATATAATAAGGATAACGTTTTTGGAGTATACTTTTATCATCCAGACATCCCCCAAGGAAGGGTGTAAATTTAATTCCTAGCAATGTGTTGTGCCCTAAAAGATTAATTTTTGGATTTGATCCCATACACGCATGGGACTCCTACTTAAACTCGTTCTTGTGGTAACTTGTGAATAAATATCCTTTTCATTCTGGGGTCCCCAGCCGTGCTAAAATTAAGTATATTTTACTTAGATCAGGATGGGGATATTTATCGTACAAAAGGTAAGGTCTCATGTGGTTGCGACCTTCCAAAAAGAATTAATCACTGGAATTAATCTATATTTCTTTTAATAATC